TTTTTTTAAAGGAAAAGGCAACAAGAAGATTGAAGAAATGGACCAAGCCGGCATCCTGAGAAAGTTTATCCAGGGGGTGAAGGCCATGAGCGAGGGGAACGATGAGAGGGGAGAGGATAACTTCGGCAGCGACTTTATGGTGGGTCAAAATTAACAGGCGCCTCCACCTAGCCTCTTGTATCCTATATCTGTCTCACATGTACACTCTTCCCTTTATAACCTCCACCTTTTCCTCCATACTGACCCTTCATATCATACCCAGCGCCCCCTCCGTCTCCTGGTTCTCTGTGTATCCCCCAGGAGGTGAGGCAGGGGTGGCCACACTGCCCTCTTCCTTTTTCCTCCCATTTCCAGGCTTTACATGGCGGCCTAGCATTGTCTCCCATGCCACAGAAATACAACCGATTCCGGTTTCTTTAAAAAAAAATTTTTTTTAAAAAGGGCAAATAACAAAGACGAGAAATATTATTGTCTCTCTAGCTCTTGGTTATTTATTTATTTATTTATTTTAATGACGTTGCTGGAGCAGCTTGTAGGTAGATCTTTTATTGTGGCTATATGCTTGATTGAGACACAGTGCAGTGATTCATTGTCCTCATAAGCACTAAATATCCACAAACCTAAGCTTGATTGCATGCTTTGTTTCCTGTGGTTTTCCCTGTGTTCCAGTAATAAAAAAAATCCTGTCAACTATTTATAAAATGACTTCAATTTTAGTAGAAGTTTTAGCAGGTATCTATTGTGGTCACTGAGAAATGTGGCCACTTGCAAACTTTTATTTACATTTCCAGTTTAACGAAAGCAAATTGCAAAGAGCTCCCCATACACTGGACCCATATTTAAAAAAAAAAAAATGACAGTTTAAACAAGGGTTGTCAAACCTAAGGCTTGGAGGCCAGGCAAAGACTCCAATCAGACCCTACTGCAAAGTTTGGAAGACATGATTGAGGGTATAAATTTTGGACTTTTAACAGTATTTTCAAATGTTTTACAGCTTTATCTTTACTTCTAAAGGCACCCACATGGAGATTCAAGCTACACCAAAGATTTTAAAAATTAAATCTTTGAAAGGGTCCAGTTTTTTGTCTATTATAGAAATTTATGGTTGCTATATTTGTTTATTTTTAGGTCATTTATGTGTGCAATGGATACACCTAATTGTAGCATGTCATTTTACAGGTTTTTTTCTTACAATTTAAGAGTCACGCTGACAGACTTCTTTCATTTACTACAAAAAATTATTTTTCTATCATGCAGTTTTCCCCCCATCTATTAAGATCTCTCGGGTTCAAACATGTAGTTAGGTCAAAGTGGGCTGTATCTGGCCCCCAATGTTAAAACGAGTTTGACATCTCTGATTTAAACTAAACCTTACAACAGCATTAGTTTTAATCTGGCAACTTTCTTACATGTGGAGAGGATCTTTTGAGATTAGAGATGCTTGCTGTTGAAGTAATTTTGATTACATATTTTGTGGTGACTGCTGACCCACAGTCATTAGTTTGCCTTCACTACATAACTGGATGTCACTGTGTTGAAAGTCTGGACTCAAAATAGGACCAAGGCTTGTGAAATGGTTTAAAATGCCACAACAGGAATGTCACTCCTATAAAAACATTTCTGTCATTGAGTCCACTTTAATTTAGATATGTTTAGAAATGTTCCGGTGGAAATTGATTTACTATCTTAATTTACAGCAAGTTTACAGTTTAACAGGTTTAGACTTTCCTTCATGAGCAGCCTTATCGTCCAGCCTAGTTTCATGTTAATCATGTTGCAGTTTGATTATGTGGGAATTAAGCTCCTCAGCACCAGAATGGTTAACTTTTTCCCCCACACACAGACTCTCCTCACTTCCCTACTTCATGCAAGCTGCTTGCTGGAGCTTGCAACATTCTTTCTTGGCCCATTTCATAACATTTTGTCCTGGCTATAAAAATGCAACTCTTTGGCACACTTTGGATCGAGGCCTCTCTCTTGTTCAGATTAAGTACATAACAGTTTCTATAATAAGCGAATCTGTGTCTAATTTTGTGCTCATGACTTAGCCTTCTGTCTTGTCTTTTGAGTGAGAGTTGCAGAAAACAAGGAGCTGGGAGATGTTTCGGCAAAAAAAAGAAATTAGTTCTCAGCTATGTGAGAGGCATTAAGGAAGTGCTTGGTGGACGAGAGCTACGGAGCTGGAACTAGTCTGCTTTTGGCTTATTTACAGAAGATTCATTTCACCATGCATGCCCTCTTTCGATGAATTTTTACGCGGTAGACTCAGTACAGTGTCCATATGTTTGTGATTTTATTGCCTGCCCGTTTTCTCTCGCCCTTAAATTCTGTTTCTAGACTCAACTGGTTAAATGCAGGTTCTTCTTTTAGCACCACTATACTTGCCATTCATAGATTACACACGTCCACGCCTTGTCAAACTGCCTACAACAACCACACGTTGTATGGGAAGAGAACAATTTTAAAGCTTTTAAAGCGGAAAGTGTTTCTTCCTGTCAGTTTTTCCAGCAAAACACCCCACCAAGCGTTTTTAGGCTATTAAATGTGGTGTTTTTAAGAAGTTGTAGGACACTACTGACTGCTTGTCAAGCTTTAACTTTTGATTATTTGTGTGATGTCTGTGGTTTCCTTTCAAATGAACTTCATTGGCATGAAATACAATATATTTCCTGTTAGCCTTAGGCTATCGCACATGTCTCTAGACAGTCCCTTGACAATCATGCAGCTCATATAAACTTAATCGCTGGGGCATTCAAGTGCTTTCATTAAATCAATTATCCTTTATCTCGTTAGTCATGGTAATCGGGGTTATTTTTGTACATGCAAAGTTACTGAATGAGGCTTATAAAAATTGGGCTTCAAGCTAAATTTTCTTAACAGCTGGCAGCAGCTTGTGAGTGTTGAGATTCAGCTAAATTATTTAGCAAACGCACCAGCTAGCAGTCAAGAAAATTTGTCCCGATTGTTGCACATGTGGCTTGTGTGCCAGTGTACGGAGCATTGTTGATGCTCACAAGCTGCAGCAAACATGTAAGTAAGTGTCTGAGCCAGTTGCTGCTAGTCTGTGGCGTTGATTTCAAGTCTTGTGTGAGGCTTTCAATTGCTGGAGTCAAGCTCGCAATACCACAAGCACATGGGGTGTGCTTCTCTATGAAGTGAGTCACCAGAACACCCTGACATAACACCCACTTTAACTGCCTATTGTTGTTTATATATAGAATGTGTTTTATTGACATAATTACAGGCTCTAGTGGGCCAAAGAGTCAGAGATTATACGTTTTCTTCAGTAGTTGTTTTGCTGTTTGATGCAGTGGGGAAGCTTCAGGTTTTTCTTCCACCTGGGACGCTAATTGGAAAGTATCGTGGGGTATCTGGCCATGTTTGACCTTATTAGAAAACTTGACAGTGAGCTGTTTTAGTGGCAGCCATATAGAGGCAGATTACATGGGATGTATGTCTGCAT